CTAAATACCATGTTTTTGAGGCTGCTTAATGTTGGGTTTAACTGAAGATGTAAAATCAAAACCAAACAATAAAAAACACAAAGAAACCCACCACCCACACAGAAGACAGGTTTTTAACTACACTTCATTACTCTATACTTGCTCATTATGCACAAACTTTTCTCACAGCGAAAGTGAGTTGCACTGAAAAGTTACTATAGACAAGCTGCTAGTTACATGAATAGCAGGAGAAAATAATCATATTGACACAAGATATTATTTATAATTCATCAAGTAAGAAATTATCACAAAATCAATTTATCCTAGCTTGAAAACAAGCACGGTTGGTTTGCCTTGGCATTTATTTAACTGCAGGATATCATTAAGCTCTAACAACTTTCCAGTCCACTGGTATTCTTTCTTCAATGCCTGCACTTCACACACCAGTAACTCCCACAGAAAGACTGCTCTTTTCACGAGCCTGCTAAGCAGTATTAAAATTGCATGGGCTCCTTCAGCCAACATATTGTGCTTTGCACTGACCTTTAAATTCCAAAAGTCATTAGCACAATACAAATGGAGGGTGAAAAATATTGTATTTTTATACATATATCTTGCCTGAAGGGCTCTACCATATAAAGATAGATTAAAATTAATCACACAAACATCATGTATTTGTGCATCCTGATTACAAAGGATATCTGAAAAAGAAAAAGTGAAAGACTATCTCAACGTGAAGTAATTTTTCAACAAGCTTGCTCTAAACAGTACTTGAGAACACGTGTCTTCTGCCATGAAAGGTTATCAGTATAATTTCAGTGACATTAATGAAATATTTTCTGTACTAATGTTGTAACTAAATTAATCCCAGACCTTTTAAAACAGTAAAACAATTCAAGATTAGTGATGATCTAGTGAAATAGAAGCTAATATACAGTTGTATGAAATTATACTTAAAGAGGTGAAACTCCTCAGGTTTATTTATATGAATGACTACTAAGGATCTATTTCAAGAGGTATGCGTTTGAAAGGTAATACAACCACTTTTTGCAGAACGAAGACTTCATGTCCATTTTAAGTTCTGCAAAAGCTGGTATGGGTTCCAAGTTTCAATTTAAAATTCACGTATGTGACCACAAGTGGAATCCTGAACTCTGGATAAACCCAGGCACTTCCTTCGCAATGTCTGGAAAATGCAATAGGGCTTCAAAGTGGGATTCACAAAAGCCAAGATCATTGAGCAGATATTTACCTTCTGCTTAGTGCTACTCAAAAAGAATCATTCAGTACCAGATATTTTAAACCCCACACTTTCTCCTGAGCAAGTTAACAGAATTATATATGAGGAAATGCCTTCTAATGGAGAATCCAGAAGCTGTGTTTTCTGAGCAGCAGAAACCAATAGCCTTCCTTGCAGAAGGAAGATGGCATCTTGAAAGATCTCCACACACACACTTTAAAAGGAACACAGCCCCCTCTCTTTCTCCATTACATTAGTTTAAAAACTGGCTTAAGTTGTAGGGCAACAACATTCCAGCCTCTTTCATCTGAGAGAATTCAAATGTCCATAAAGGTAAAAAACAAACCTGCTGTTCTTAAATGGGAGAGATTCATCACCAGTCTGCTGGCATCTTTCACTGCACGAAAGATCCGAATGTACTGGATCAGTCGTAGCACGACTGCAGCTCAGTAGAGAAGCCAGCCAGCTGGGGAAACGAGATACGGTCCCAGCCCCACCTCTACATTCTTCTCCTATCCAGACTTCAGACTTTGCATCCTCTGTGACAGAGGAGGGCAATCAGACAACTGGGAAAACTGAAGCACCTGTTAGAAGTGCATCCAAAGTTCACCGCTGCGCAGTTTTATTTTTGGATTTGGGTAACCAAACTGAAGTACGAACAAAATTTAGGCACCTATGATCTTTTTTGGATCTACTTCTTGGACTTAATCTTTCACTGCGAGAAAAAAAGTGTTCATTTTACCTTGAGGGGAGAAGAGAGAAAGGGTGAAGGCTGTTGCCCACCCATAAGGTTAACATTAGATGAAACAACATTTTATTCAAACTCCTGCTTGGATATGCCTACATCACAGAAAGCACTATTGCAGTTCTAGTTCTTTTAATAAAGTCCAGATAAAATTTGGTAAGTGCAGAAAGACAATTACTGTATTTTCTTAAAAGGTAATTCTCCTGAGTGTCACAATCAGGCATAAAGATTAAAGGACACACAGCGTGTGGAAGGTTATGCAAATCAACCTGTGCCCACCCTGCATATATGTGGTGAACAGCAGTGGAAATTGGGGTCTACTTAGCATTCAATATGCACTCATTTTTAACATAATCTTTTGGACTTGCTTCTTTAGAAGGGTCCCCAGACAAAGCACTGTAATTGATATCAAATGTCTGTCATTAGTTTGTTGCTGTCTTAAACAACTTGAAAAAAATCAGTTATGCATCTTTAAGCAACTTTGAAGAAGCAATCCTGCCAAAAGACCTACGTACAGGTTGTTAGCAGAAAAAAGAATGTCTTCTGAACTAGGGCAGTAATATCAAATAAATTGAGTTAAAAACGTTTTTATATAAAGTTATGCAAGAACTTTAAATGCTGAGCAATTTTCTGCCTAAAAAAATGTTTGTAACTAAACTACTTCTATTATAATAATTTTTCCTTTCGGCAGAAAAGCCACTTTTCCTTCCTTGCACAAGCTGACTGGAAAGTTTGCTTTATAAAGTATTTACCAGACACTTCTTGTCTTGCAAAGCTCAAGTGTCATAATACTATTTCCAACTCATTTGTTACAACTGCCACCATCACACAAAAAAATATTCAACATAGAAAATCTTGTTTTTCCTTTACAGTCAAGGAATGTATTCTCCAGGAATCACATGTATTCTTCCCATCCCCCCATGAATCCTTTATACATTGCCAGGATACATTGCCTCCTCAGCCTCAGGCTTCAATAAATTAAATAATATAAACTTAGGTATAATGAAATAATTTAATCTCTTCTAAAGAGGTTGACATGTTTTTGCTTGAAAGTATCATTCAAAATACTTTTAAACAGGTGCACTGTTAAAAAGCAGGCTCTAACAAGGCAGTATTTGTATCATTCCACATATGGAAAAGAACATAACTTCGATAATTTGTTCTCACCTGCAGGTCTATGATTGACATCGGACACTCTAGACCTCAAAATTCAGTTCATGAACAAAATGAGTGTCATTTATATGAAGTGAATGTAATATTACCTTCCCAGCCAGTTCATACTGTGATTAATTGGTTATGTGGTGTCATTAGGACAGCCTACAACACAATGCCTTTGCTTATTTACAGTCTAAACCAAACTGAACAATTAAATCACATTTAACCAACTATTTTAAGACATTCCTAAAAATAATACTTACTGATAGGATGTAAAATACATGCTTTGGGCAATAAAATATATTGCATTGAGCAAAGCTGCTTACATAAACAAGCTTAACCAGCCATTGCAAAAGAGGTCATCATATCCACTAATAAATTTCCAAACCCCATGACCACAAATTTAGTCCTAATTCTGAAATGATATGTAAAAACTAGAGAGTTAACTATATTGTGATTTAGTAAACAACTAGGTTGAACTTAATTAGATGAAGTTAGATACCTTTTCTCTTTGCAAAACTGGTGAGCACAGTAGCAAGGAACAGATTCTATTCTTAGAACTGAACAAAGGTGGAGAGGTAAAATACATATGGGAGGAGCATGTATGTTTCAGATCGAAAAAAAATACAACACATTATTCACATAGTTAGAAAAAAACAAGCCAATTACCAAAATGTTTAATTGGTAAAAGTTTAATGTCAACTTACTTATAAAAATGAAAAAATATTTTAACATTCACCATACAATTGAGCAACCTGGCCCTACTGACTATCAGCTATAGGAAGGCATTTAAGGAAATGATGGTTGTGTCAAAACAAAGGCTAACTTCAGGCATGTATGCTGCTTAAAAAAAAAGAAACCAAAACAAAACCCTCTCAATTGCAGGAAGCTAGATGCTTAGCCTAGTTTTTAAAGCTAATTACAAAATCCTCTTTCACACTGGTCCAGATGTCTTGACAATTTCTTCTTCTAACAGAACTGTCAAAAGAAAAGAATTTTTATGAGATCTTCACACAGCTTATTTCTAAATCTTTGCAAGAAGAAACAGAAATATGACACCATACTTAGGATATGGAAATTACTATTTAAAGCATTTGCTTGTATCATAACCATTCCTTCACTCAAGCATCTTTATACAGACACTTCTGTAACTGCCACCTTACAGAAGGTTCTAAGAACAAATGAACTTTTCCAGGTACTGCATCAAACAAATTCTAAACTTTATAAATTATTCAGATATCTTGGAGTACAGATTTGAACAATATTCATTAAAAAGGTATGTAAACCAAGATGCATAAAAGAATTTTTTCTTAAAGCAGTAATCTTAATGTATGCTGCGCAACATGGTTCTGCAGAGCTGCAGCACTCAACGCAGAAAAAGAATGGAATGAGGGTAATCATGCTTCATACTGCATGCTATCACACCTTAAGTTGTAAATTTTACAGGCTTTCGTTTCAGTGTTTCTTTACTTTATTGGACTACTATTGTTCCTCAGAAGCTTTTATAATTCCCATTTCCTGAGCTTAAAAAAAAAATTCAATCGAGTAATCACTGCCCTACACTTATGCTGACACAAGAATAGTCATCCCTTTTTTTCACCTCCCTTTTCAGAGTAGAAAAACATCTAGAAAAAAAAACAACAAAAGATCTAGAAAGGCCTATTCCACTCATCAAAGCAGCGATTAAAAATAGTGAGAGTATATTTGGGTGGAGAAAGAGAAAATACAGCGAATAACTTGCCACTACTTTGTATGGCAAAGCAGTATTGTAACTTAAATGTCACAAGGACTAAGTCAGTGTCCTGACTTCTCTTCCACCTTGCAGCTACCCCACTTGTGTGGTCTCACACTTTCAGTCAAAAATACTTTTCTAACCTAAAGTTATTTTGCAATATCCACATGTAATATCATTAAGGGGCTAAGAAATAACCAATAGTCAACAGAAACTTATTTGTCATTTACTGTAAAGCAAAATTAAGCACAGAGCCCGCCTGTCTGCTACAAAACATGCAGAGCAGTCTAACACTCTTACCTTCCATCTGTTTCCACATTCATTACAGACAACAAACGTTGTCATGGGTTCATCAGCACTGCGGGTTTGAACCTTTGGCAAAGGCAAGAGCCAGAGCAGAAAAGGAAAATTAGTATCATCAACTTTTGTTGATGTGTTCAATATAAAGGTTTAAAATCAAACTTTAACATTAAGGAAACACATTTGGATAAAAATACAAGTTACCTTTCCATATCAATGGAAGCTTATTTTATGTCTACACTATAAAGTTATATTTTGATACACTTAGTAGCACAAAACAGCAATTTCAGCAGAGAAACTGACACATACTTGTAGGAAAAGATTCTGCAGTAAAACTACATGTTCAGTACAGCTTTACATATATTTACCAATGCAAAGGCTTAAAAGTCTCATGATTGAAAATCAGCTTTCTACTTAAAGCATCTGATATACAATATTAAATTATAAATGCAGCAGATCCTATGATCAAAATTACATGCCCTGAAGAACCGCTAAACAAATTAAAGTTACCCTTCTTGCATATATTTCCTAATTAAAAAAGGTTGTAGGAATGATTACAAATCAGGGTCTAGTGTTAGCCAAATGGTAAATTATATATATATAAAAAAATATATATGTATATATATTTTATATGTATGAGGCTTTGGGCAACCTGGTGTAGTGGAGGGTTCCCCTGCCCATGGCAGGGGGGTTGGAACTAGATATCTTTGAGGTCCCTTCCAACCCAAACCATTCTATGATTCTATGATCATTTTCTGCTCTTTATTCCATCTGTAAAGAAAAGTTTACACAGATTAAAACTAGTGAATTGGCTCTCTTCTACATAAAACTGTATTAGTAAGATGTAATAAGAAGAATTAGCAAAAACTCATCATTGCAAAGCAAGTGACGATTCAGACTATATAGATACTCAGCTTGGATTTACACAGAATCTTTGGTAAATTACAAAAGAATCTTTGGTAAAATACAAAAATTCTCAATGTAAACACACCTAAGTAGATCCAACTATCTTCACATATTTTGTAATTTGTTAGTATTTTGTTAAAAGTTCATTTTGTAATTAAAACTTTTTTTCTCTGTATAGGACGTAAGAATTGATAAAGGAAAATGAAGAGTCTGAATAACCACGTACCTGGGTGTATGTACAGTTCTTCTTTTTGCACTTGCCACATGTAAACAGATCAGTTTGGGTGCCTCCTGTTTTAGCCATCTGGTGCTCTCTGATAGCTTCTTTGGTCAGATTTTTGCGCATTTCTTTCAGCTCATCACTTGCCATTTCCTGTGAAGGACAAAGAGCAAAGAGAGTTTACTAGAGTTTTTGTTTTAAACAAGTCTTTACCACTGTGCAAGCCCATACCATTTTTTATTTAGAATCCATGAGCAACAACTCTATTGAAGGGCACATTCTAATTTTTAATTTTACAAGACTTAAATTGAGATATCTCACAGCACAGAAGCTACAAAGTTAAAAAAAATAATAATTTTTTTATGCAGCTGGAAAATATCAGTAAAAGTTACAATACCAAACACCTAGAAACCTTTCTATGCAAATGCATTTCTGAAGTTTAGAAATGTAACAGAGACACAAGGTAGAGAAGGACTTGAAAGCTCTGTAGAGAGAAGGAAAAGGATCCTTTCCCTAGGTTAGATCCTCACGTAATCATCTCATTGACTTACAGAAGATTATTATAGGAAAAATTTACACTATTTTGACTATTTCTATATTTGTACTGAGAAATACAGTATAGCTGTAATTTACCATATGTTACCAGAAGCCATATATACTTCGTTTCAAAACACCAACTGAAGAGCTCAGATTCACTGATTTTGTTTTTCCTTTAAAACAGTTCTAGTGTGCAGGATCTCCACTATGTATAGTAATCAAGTGTGCACAGCAAAACCAAGCTGTTCCATTTTTTTTCAACAAAGTTTTACTCCACATCCCGTGTAGATGTGAAATGCAAATCTTGTATTAATGCTGTTTCATTTTAGAACTAATCCTAACACTAAGGGGTTTTTTAGCCATTCAAATTTTAATCCAAGACATTAATTTCAAAAAAAAAGAATGGGCACTGGACCACAAAAACGTATGTTTGCACATATGTGCATACACACATGTAAAACAAAAAAACCCTCAAAATATGCACTGAAGATACAATCTACTTTTTCTTTACATATTCCTTTATCAGCTTCTGTTTGCCCTAACCTTTACGTAAAGCTGGGAGGGGGGGAGGGGAACCTACCCCAAAAAACTTTCCTTTAGAATAAAGCTAATCATTACAGTCATTACTTGATCGTAAATTTATTCTTTGTCTCTAAGATACTCTTTTATACCTGATTGGGTGAGGTAGAATCCAATACATACAAACAGAACTACAAAACTGAAATCAGATGTTAACTGTGCTCTCGTTTTTCTCTTCCATAAAATCTAATTCTTCATTTGACTTTGTAGATTTATTTTGACTTGTAAAGACAGTGAGCATCTGCACAGGAATTTGTAAAGACAGTGAGCATCTGAATAGGAATTTCTATTTAAGCATACAAAACGTTCTTTCAATACTATAAATTTAATTTGATTTAAAGGGCAATTCTCCTAGCTTCCTTCCCCTATCCCTTCATGGCTTTTTCTATTTGTTGTTAAGAGTTTCCTTCAAAATCATTTGAAGTATTCTGTCAAATTTGAGGTAAGTTTTAAATAAACATTGAAAACGTGAACAGGAGGATTGATGTTTAAAATCACAGTGATACACCTCGCACAGGAGTATTCCAGCAGAGGTTAGCACTTGAAAAACAAATGGCAAGACAGGCTAAGAGTTACATATCCAGAAAGACGAATGGGTGAGCAGCTTGGAGTCACTAGCCAGGCATACTTATGTCTTCCTAAACTTAAAAAACGTCACTGATATATTATGTGGCCTTTTAAAAACACCACAATATAGCATGTTTCAGGAAATTTATATGCAACAGCTTATCTACCTTTTGACTTACAGACAAAATCAGATATTTAGGAATCATTAACACTTTCATTCCCTCTGCCCTGTAACTCAGACTGTGCAAGCCACAAACAAGCCACAGTCTTTCAAAAGTTCAGGCAGCTTACATAAATTATTTTTAGGGACAATAAATACAGGTCAGGACATAAGCCCAATTGGGAAACTGTTCAAGACCTATGTTTTACTTACCTCTGCTGTCATTTTGGCAAACTTGTCAGGAGGAATGTTCCCACACAACACATTTTTCCTTAGGTTAGGATTCTTTGCATCCTTGAGATTCGCTATTCTACTTCGTACCCTATTTTTGTATTTCATATCAGTGTTTTTTAATTCTTGAAAAATAGGTGCTTTGTATTTAAGGAACAAAACATTAACAAGTAAAACAGAGCACTATAAAGGATTCATTTTGGGGGGAAACTTTTCTAAAGCAATGTACTTCTCCACTGTTGACCAAGTCCTCCCCCCACTCCAACCAACAGTTACTTTCCTGTTCAACATGGCCAACTTCACATCCTTCTGAAGCTTAATCATAGTTTAGCACATCATCAATGAAATGTGAATTTTTGAGTAGCTGGATCTCAATTTAAATTGTGAAAAGTCACCCATAAATTTATATCCAGTTCCTTGACCTCATCCTGAGGATTGATTGTTTCTAAACCAATTATTCAAACACTGGCAGCTCACTAACAGAACTTTAAAACACATTTGCAACAGAAATAGGAAATTCCTTAACAGGAATTGTGTCTGACTGTAACTAGCGAAGGACATTAGCAACTTAGAATCATGAAGCTTAGACTATTTTGGTGCTTAAGAACACTCCCACAAAAAGTACCCTACACTAAAAGCAGCCCAGACTTCTGCTCTGTAACTATTCAAACACTGCTACCAGAACTAATTTCTTGAAAATTCCAAATTAATTTAGAAATAAACTTGTAGAAAATTTAAAGACATTAGAAAAAGATTAAAACTATTAACAAGAAAGATTTAAAAATAACATAGAAGAGCCCAGCATTTTATGTCAGAATGCTTCAGTAAGATAAAATATTGCTGCTGCAAGGAAAACACATTGAACTGAAGAAAACCTACACACACTCACCTACACACATTCTTACATGTTTTAAGGCAAATGATTTAGGTTGTGCTGGTTTTTTAAACACTAAATTTCTGCACTGATGTGTTGAACAGTCTGCTATTTTTGTTAAAAACAAAATTAAAAAATATTTAAAAATATTTGATATATAGATCAAGTTAATTTTAACAGTATCAATGCTTTTAAAAAAATACTCTCGTTCTAGAGCACGCAGACGTACAACAAAGGATATCTTCTTCGATCTGAGAACCCAGCTCTTCCTCATCAGCACCAATAGCAATGTAATCATCTGAGGAAAACAAATATTAAAGTATTAGCAACCTGACAATCTCAGTGTTCTATATCCCTGAGAGTCCCTTCAAAACTCTGAAACTCAACAAATTATGAAACAACTGCAGTGAATTTTCTTTTTGTATAAGAAAGTTTAATTTACTGTAGACTTATCCTTGCAAAACTTTCTTATTACTTGGAAGAACAAAAATAAGCAAAATTAAGATCAACAGAAGTTTTAAAAAGTAGCACAGCCCTAAATCTTTCACAAAACCAAAAATTCTGGTATCTAGTTGTAAATACAAGTAGTAACAAAAAAAAAATGTTGCTATATAGAAAAATTTTAAATATTCTAATAGACTTTGCAAATACCCATCTCCACAGTGTATCTGTGCGTAGAACAGACAATTATAAAGAGGAAACATTTTGTATTGTGTTTCATCAATTCTTTCAGTCCACACAATAGAAGCATGAGCAATTAATGTTTTGCATGCATGCAAGAGAAAGATTTCATTAGAAACACAGTAATTAAATACCAGATACAATATTATTAGATATTTTGAAAAAGTGCAAAGCAGAGACGTGTCATAAAACACATAAATTAGAAGAAATAAACCATAGCAATCTCGAAGACAATGCAACACTTGACCTAAAATGTCTCAAGATAATTGTTTACTGTTTCTGACCAAAACCCTTATTCATAAAGACAGCTGCCTTTCCAAGATAGCTTAGGACAAATTAGAAGCATGTGTTTTCCTCCTTCTCATTTTAACATGGGTGTACTTCAATGAGTAATCCAAACACCTTCTCCTTCCATCTCATGCAGAAGGCCATAAAACCAGAAAATCTTATTTTTTGAGATTGGCATTCAACCCATGGATGATCAGTTTATATGTGCCATAGAAAGTAACATAGCAAAAAGAGTTCTTGGAAAATTAGCTAAAATTAAGACTATATTGAATTATGAATACTAAGATGCTATATGCAACTCTGGTCACAAATTATTTTAGAAGTCTATGAACTATATATCCAGAGGAACACAAATTCATGGTCTTTAGTCAGCTTCAATTACTGTCTATATCTGAATTTATGTGAATTAAAAGAAAGAATAAAAGAGTGAAGAGGGTAAAAATGGATGATTCAGAAGTCTGCTTACACTGGGTCAGGTCACACTAAGCTAAGAAGAGAGGAACAGGAGGTGGGTCCTAAGTTCTGGTAGAAGAGAAGGACCCACAAGAAAAAATTCAGGTCATTCTCAGGATTCCAACTTTTAGTTTGCTCCTTATCCAGCACATCATGCAATTTGTTAGTTTAAAGACATCCAAGTGAACATGAGAGGGAGGGGGAAGAAAAAACCCCAAAACAGTCAAGAATTTACAGATGCCCAAAAGGCATGAAGAGAGAGCAATGCAAAACTCTCTTACTGTGAGTATCTCAAAAAAACTTCAAAATTAAATCAAAACAGAAAGGCAGCCTTCAGAAACCAAAATCTGAAGGTCCACAGGATCTTAGGTGTAATAAAGGCAGGTATGTATTTAGTGGCACTCTCAGTCAGAGATAAAACCAAATGAGGCATCGGGGAGGCAAGAACCTTCCTGAAAAGAAGTTCACTGTAGGCAAGATATCAGATGAACAGAAGTCACAAAATGTCCTGTATCATCAGGAACAAAAAATGTATATCAATACATTCCCATGCTATCAAGGTCACTCAATACCTGCAACTTGGGTGAACTGGCCTATGAGTATATACATACAAATGGACACAAACAGGGCTGATTCTACCCTATGGGGCAGGAGAAAAATACAGTGGGAAAGACAGAAAAAGAGATGAAGGAAACAGTTAAACTTGAAAATATAGTCTACAAAGCTCACCTCCCGTTCTGAGAGCTGCAGAGAGCATTTCTCTACATTTCACTCGTACAGAATCCGAAGTGCTTGGAGCCCGGGGAAAAGAAGGGATGAAAGAATTTGAGGGAGCACTACCTTCCTCCTTCCTGCTGCTGGAATTGCTACTTGAACTGCTAAAAAAAGGCAAAAAGAAAACTAACGTTAATGCTTTTTCCCCCCTCTCTTCCAATAACTTTGTTCCAGGGCAAAACATAGGTCTTTTGTTATATTCATTTGATGGTATTCCAAAAAAAGAACACAGGCTACCTTTTAAAATCTACTTATAGCTCTAGAGCCAATACAATTTTATAAGTGTCTTTAGAATATTCACCAAGGTATTCCACACAATAGAGACACAGTAGGTATTTCATTCTGTTATGTGGCATATAAGTTTTAATTCTGAGCTCTCTACATTAACATGAAATATTTTTTTTTTGCCATGGAACTTCAAAAAACAGTGAAGATACATTACACTAACATTCAGTCTGCAGTGAATGCATTGCATCCAGTCTGCTTACTGCACTGAAGTGGTACCATGGTCATAAATAAACAATTAATGTAGCTTTGCAAACTGTAAACCAAAAAGTTTTCAGCTTGCATCAGTACAAATGGTTAGAAGTTAAATTTCAGTTTGGAAATGGTTGTTGGAAACAGATTCACTAAAACCAGAAATGTATAGAAGAAATGAGCTTGCAGATGCTATTTTGCAACTGTACTTCAGCTCCTATAGTGTCATTTACATGGGCTCATTTTTCTGATAACATATATTTTGTGTATACTAAAAAAAGCACAGAATGAGTTTGTTTATTAAACATAAAAGCTAACAGACAAAAGAAGCATTCTAAACTTCTAACATACACAATTTCTACAAAGCTGTGACTGAAAGTTGTTTTACAGTTCTCAAAGCTCAGTGCTAGTATTGAGATAAGAAGTATTTGACAGATGAGACATGGAATAAACAATAACTAGTCTGGCCATATCTTGACCTGTGGCTTTTATATTTTTTTAATGTCAGCAGCAGTAGGATTTACTTCCCTAACAACACACCATTTCTTGAACAACTCTATGTGTTTCAGAAAAAAATGTGGAAGCTGTCTCTAATTTGGCAAATTTGGACCAAATATTTTAACGTCAATTTATACTGAGATTATTTGTATAGTCATGAGGAATTCAGCACCTTTCTTCTCTTGCTTCAGGGCTGTTTTGCGAGGAAGATGCAGGCTCCTTTTTCTTTTCTTCAGAATCTTTATCAGTTGAAGGTCCATCTGGAAATACAAAACATGAGAAACTCTCTTTTACCCAGAAATAGTAACCAATTTAAAGCAGTGGTAAAATATCTTTGATGATTTCTCCTGAGCCAGTTGGAAATGCTATCAGCTCCCACTCTCTGCTTTGACCTTCTCTTGCAGTACAGCCTTCTACTTTCCAACACCCTCCCCAACCCAGCAAATGGAAAATATCACAACACTTCAGATCCTTCGACTCAAGTCCAGCATCTGCTTAAACTAGCAGTGAAAATATGATGAAAACATAGACTTTTATGATTTATTTTTGCCAACTTTGCTCCATGAGGTAGATAATAACTTCTTAAACTACTGCATCAAGTCTCTGGAGTTCACCTTCCATGTTTTAAATGTAAGTTCCTATTAAATACATGTCATTCTTTTTAATTATGTTCACAAGATTTCTACCAAAGGAATGAACCAAACGAAACTGTGGTGTGAAAGCTACCATGGTTGCCAAAAAAAATAAAGATCATTTTCACATGCTTTTGAAGGAGTTTTCCAGACACGAACAAAGTATTTTCTGTAACAGCTCTTAAACTATTTGCCTCCGTGTTTAAAAATATTTGAATTTGCCTTTCTCATACAGGCTATGTTTAATGATGATTTTATAAAGAAGAAAGATGAAAGCCTTTACTAAAAAGGGCAATCACAACATTTAACTTTAGCCTAGTGAGAAAACATACATCTTTACTTTGTAAAGTGAATTCAGAATGGCTAAATCGAGCTCCTGCTTTGATTTGCTCTCTAGAAAGGCTGACTCTCTCCATTGCCTACAGAGAAAACCTAGTGAGATTGGCATCACTCTTTGACGGATTTTGTGAATTCCTCTCTCTAAGCCCTCAGAAAGCTGCCATTACACTTCTAAATCCATCGACTATATTATTGGAATAACCACATATTGCAAACTTTGAAAAGAACTAAAAATAGATTAAGAAAAGGAGGGAAATCTGATAAGGCTCAGTCTTTCTCATGAAGATGTCCTGAACTAGGTATCTAAAAGCATCAGAAAGTATCCTCATTTCTGGAAAAGCCCCATCCCACATTTCTCAGGGGAACTTGGTGGTATGGAACACACAAATTCAGATCTCTTATTCAAGCACTAAGCTTTTTTTTTTCCCCCTAGAGAGCACAAAATCACTGTACTGCCTTATTTCTAATGGGAACAATTTACATGTAAAGCTAAACAGAAGAGACTTTGAACTGGATTTTGATCCTTTCCTTATCTTTTGAGTTAGTTAAGGAATTTAAGAAATCAAACACCACTTTGTTAAAAAAATCATCACCATAAAAGGAGACCACAGAGATACCTGTACTGGATCAAACCAAGCACCCACCTACTATCTTGTACCTAAAAAGAGATGCCTACGAAACAGTATAGGAATCAGGCAAGCACACAAAGATATTCTAGAGTACTTCCCCAGTCTTCAAGAGAGTCAAAGTTTAGTGATTTCCTCACCCACTGTTTGTATTCAATCCTTGATAAATTTCTACATTACAGGAAAAAAAAAAAAAAAAGAAAACAGTATATGATGCACTTGGAATGATTGTCTTTAATAAGCTAAAGGTGTTATTCGAAAAATCTTAATAAAGATATCAATTCAATCAATTATTATTTATAAAAAAGTCATTTCACTAAGAAAGCAAATGAGGCTATAAAACTGAATGGATCACAGAAGTTCTTTGCTGTGACACCTAAAGTGCACAACACTCAAAGAAAACAAATCCCTTTTTTAACATGCATATTCGCATGACTATTTCTATGGCAACAAATGCTTACACGATTTGTAATTTTTTAAAAAATTCTAAATATGCATGTTACTTCATTTACCCTCATCATTTTTTAAGTACATGATCATTTTTATCAGAGGCTTGAAGACGAACCGATAGACCAAACAGGTATCCTAGGGTACAGCTCGCGTTCTGCAAAGCAGCACAGCTGCCTTACAGCTGTGCTCTGCTTCAGCCCATTTACCTTCACATTTTTTTGTGGCACACAAGTTGTCAAATTCAGAGTTGATCTAGGTATCTCCTGTTTATTTTGCGTCAAACACACCACTATGGTATAGCTGGCACCTAGTTTTAGTTTATCAGAAGCTCCCATTTGGCCCAGCACCATTTCGTCACAGAAGGCAGGCACCTGAGAACATCTGCCAATATCCCGACAGCTCCTTTCACTTATGGAGCGCACGGTATACGTGAGGCACACGGATAAAGCAAGAGGTAAAAGCACAGCTCTTCCTACACCTGCGGATTAGTCTATGCAAGCATGTCTCAAACCAAGGTCAAACTTCAGCAGCTGAGACAAGCAGACCATCCTCAGCAAACTTGTCTTCAAAACGGTAATTTCTTTAATCACTTAGAGAAGAGCTTATAGATGCTTCTGTTTAATCCAGTTTCAGAAATCTGAAAATAAAGTTAACAATATTCTCTGTCTGCTCAAAATATTCTCCTAAATGTTGAAGTCATTCACTTGTACAGATCACAAATTGGAAAGCACCAGAGAAAGGAGATCCAGTGCCAAGCAGTAATGATCCTTTAACTCATGTATTAATAAAGATTTCTTATTTTATTAAAATATTGTATTGACAAAAGAACAGAATGCAATTTACAGCCTGTTAGACAGCATTTCAACTATCCTCTGGGGAAAAGAAAAAAAAAGTTATCCTTGAGAAACTAAAAGCCCCTACTCATTTACGTATTTTACATTCAACGGCTGAACTCTAACGCAAAGGAAGAACGACAATTAATGGGGACTACAACAACCACAGAAATTCTAACAAAGACAGATGCAAAAAATGGCCCTTCTGTGAAAGCTATTTAAAAATTCCAATGAACATGTAATTCACATCAGGAAGTCTATAAAACGTCATAAATATTCTATTTATATATATTAAAGTTGCTTTAAAGCGGCACAATTACCTTTTCAACTTTGTACAGCTATTAAAAGTTATTAAACTTTTTTTCAGAAACAAATTGAAATTGTCATCAATTTTAGGACTGAAAACTGTAACTTCACAGTTTTAGCTAGCTTCAGAAGGCCATAAAAAATATTTAAGCTTTTTATTTTCACATGACATCAGCTAATTTATATTAAAATACAAAAAACAAGCTAGTAACATGAATTTACTATTATCTATTGAAATAAGACTATCAAATTCTGACTACTGCATTGCAGTTTCTATCTGAAACTTGCAATTAATTTGGAAGATACTTCTACCTTTTCCAGTGAAGGAATCTCTCCAAGGTAAAACATGACATGATGGTGTTCTTTGTTACCAGAACAAAATTTTTAATGTAATAATATATGGCCACAGATATCACAATTAATCTGAATGTCAGAAGTCATTAATAGCTTCATTGTAGATTCTTCTAATTACAGTTATATTACAAGTGAACTCAAGACATTTGCTAGTAAGAAAAAATTAGAAAATAAAAAGATGCAATGTTATTAATTTATAAATTTAACTTTATGAAATTTTTTAAAGTAAGAATTTTGCAGAAATGTTAATGAAAGGTGGCTAGTTATTCCGTGGAAGCACATGAGAATTTAATTTAGTGGGTTATCGTATGTTACTGATTCAGATATTATCACCATAACTTGGAAAGTTTTCTGAGTATTCAGTTTAAATAAGTTAAAGGAAAGAGATATGAGAACAGGTAACAGATAACAGTCATTAATTTAACAATGACTCTCATATTTAATAATTCTTTAGGCCCCGTTTTCCAGACTCTAACCAAAATAATCTTGAGATGCACTTCTCAGCAACTCCTCTGCAAGATGTAGTAAGACATGAAGGTAAAAATCAGAAAATCTTCTTCCTAGTAGTAGCATAGGGAGGAGTAATATCTAAAATCTATAAATAAACAACAAAATCATGTTTGCCATTTTTAAAGATTTTTTTATCATAAGTCACAAAGGAGCATGACATATTCACTTCTTTGCTACACGTTTTCTCTCCTATACAGTATGATGCAATTTGCATCATGTGTTATTATCTCTCCACTGATAATCCTAACAAGTTATCAACAGTACTACTAATTGTACAAGGAACAGTTCCAAATATACATTTGACAGAAAGGTATTTCCACAGGTCATACTTGATATGGAAACGAAACTATCGAAATTATTTTTGCAGTTGATTCTACCTGATATCTTCAAAAGGCATGTACTCTTCTCATCAATAGTAAACAATACCCTTAAACACTATTAAACTGTAATTTAGGAACTTGTTTCATCAATAACATTTTTTTTGAGCAAAGCCAGTATGTTACTAGATGTCCCTGAACAACTTTACCCAACAGCAGCATTATCACACCTGTAAGACAGTCCTGCACTGTACCAGCTTGCTCCAGTAGAATCAAACCCAGGTTCGAAACAACAAAGCAATCTGAGTAAAACACTTCTGTGAAGTCTGGCTGGTGGTATTTTCTCTTGACAATGTTAACCACTTCAACATTGTTTTAAACTAAACTTTTTAAACTTATTGCACTTTTTTTAAATAGGCATTTCAAAATGTTTGTGGCCCCATTTTTTTTTTTTCTTACTGGCAATAGATGATCACGCTTGCACTTTGTGTCAAAATTGTTGTGCAATCATTCTGTATTTCCAGTTCAGTACATAAACTACCGGAGTTAAGTTTACTTAGAGGTCTGGACATTCTTTTTCACTGTATACTCTTAGAGTTGCATAAGTAATTATTTGTAATGGATATGTATAGATTGATTATCTACATAGCATACTCTATATACTCAGCTACTTGTCAAAACAATTGTATTTTACTCTGAGAGCAGAACTTGCTTCTGTACGCAAATCGTGACAACACTTGCAAGTCCTCTGCTGGGCAACTTGCAACTCCCCTGAAAAACCACTGGTAACCCGGCATAGCTCCAGTCAGGCCATAAACATGTGGCGATTCTCAACCTTACTTTGATTTCTTCTCATGTTTCCCATGAATTCTTAAAAGGTGAGGTGTGATAGCATTGAACTTAAACAGTACATGCAGCCTGAACAGTTAATCATTCTTGCCTAAATTCAAAATGTCGTTTATAAAAATAACTCACAAAGACTTCAGATCTGAGTACAATGCTTGGTGCGATTAACAGCTGTCCGCTTCTGTTGCCATCTTTGATCCACACCATTTTACATGCACTACAAACAGCATAATCGAAACTGATTTCTCAAGCAGCTCAACATACAGTATTTCGTATTCTTCTGAGAAAGTCAAAACTAACAATAAAACAGAATAAGAGTACTTTGTAAGACTCCCATCCATACTTTGTGCAGCTCAGATAAAACCTCATAACTATGGAAGACAGGGTAAGTTCTAATGAATCACTCAGTAGTGAAACGAGCAGTGAAACATTTGCCCTGCTATGCTTTATTACAAGGTCTACATTATGATCAGGGAGAATTTAACTATGTAAGTTTTAAATACAAGCAGTGCTGTATTTTCAGGAATAATTTCATTTTATATAATAAGTGCACGACCACAACTGTACTAGATCTGGCACAATAATGCACATGCAATAATATCTGCCTTGTAACGAAAATTAGAGAAGGTCCCAGACCCCTGGACTCAAGAATAAAGTATTCAGTTCTGATTAATGCCAAACATTTGCTATTTACTTCCCAGTTCATCACATTTGACTTCACCTGATATAAGCAGCCTTCGGTAGAGTCTCCCAATTGCCTTAAAGCAATCTGAATGTAGCAAGCTATGAAAAGGGGAAGGTCCACCTTTCTCCAGCTGTATGTTACTGCTGCAACCTGTGCAGGAAACTAACTGCAAACAGGCTGGATGAAGAAAATGATACAGTTGAAATCTAAGCCAGAAGAAATGAACAAAACATTTGTTTTCCAACTGGTCAGTTCCCAGCTCTGGCCTCCTGGGTAGCCACTGGAGTGCTACTGGTAGCAGGGAGCAAGGAGGTACCTGTCCAGAGGCCAGGTCCATCTCTTCCAGCAGAAGCCTACACCCAGTTTGACCTGCCGTGACAATCTTATTCCAGACTTCTACACCATAAACACCCTCTGGTCCTCAGGCAGGAATAATATTCCCCATGTTTCACAATGTTTAAACACTTAAAGATCAGTCAGCTGTAAGTAACAATATACTAAGACAAGTTTGACTGACAAGATATCGTGTTAAAAAAAATGAGACGGAAGACTATTTTTACTGTCTCAATAAATAAACAGCAATTCCTTTGCTCAAAGGACAGCAATACCCAGAAGGGTTAGCCCTTCTCCAAAAAGCAGTATCCAAGGTCACTCCCAAAACCTGAGAATTCTATGGGAAAAAAGAATATTTCCTCTACTTTGTTACCTAAACTAAGTTGCAGTATCAAAAATTCAAACTTTAGAGAAAAAAATGAAACAAAACAAAAAAACTTTGATAAAGGGTTTTTTTTAAGCTTAAATTAATAACCTGAGAGCCAGGTCACTCAATCCAGCTGCTGCTTTTATAAGTTTTTAGAGTAACTCAAGCTAATGTCCATTTCTCCGCTTATGTATCTTATGGCTTTTATGCATTGGATATAATACAGTTGGACTTTGAGTTCTATGTGGAAATTTAAACATAAAAAGTACATATCTTCCACTATTTATCAGTGATCTCTAATCAGATCTTTATTTATAAAGTATGCATTTAATTTATAGTAAAAGTCATTATCATGATTTTTAAAGTATTTTATCAGTATTTTATCTAAATTTAATTACTAAAATTAACCTGATTAGTATTATCTAACTTCTTTAAGGTAGGTTAAAAAAATATGTCTGCTGTACAGGTTGTGGCTTCTTACTAGAATACAGAAGTTGAAACTTGTCACAAATTATCCATTTCTACATACATATACTGTCAGATGGATACAAAGTTATTTCTACACCATTTACAAGAGCATAATAAAGTATCTGATAAAATATTGCATAATAGATAAATACGAGGCTGCCTTCAAATGGCTGGGGACTCTAACACCTCCTAGTGTTTAGCATATTTTTCTAGACAGAATGGCAAATATTTAAATTAGTAGAAAATAACATAAATCATTTTATATTTCAAAATCTAGTTTACCTAAAATTGGATACAAAGAAATAAAACAAGTACACCACAGTGTATGAACAAAAATATATGGTCACAATTTAATTTTAATATATTTGAAAACACTCAAATATTAAGTACTACAAAATACACTTGAATAAAATGCTACTAACAGAAAGGTTTCATTAACTGCCTTCATTGCTTTAAGGGAAGTTAAACAAAAAGTATTAACTCACTAATTAGCAAATTGTTTATAACTATGAAGGTTTTAGAAAGTGTAGATCTATTTCTCACTACCTGTAAGTTCTAACAGATGTTTAACATCCATTTTTATCTGGGTTTTTTTTCTTCACAAACCACTTTATAACCAAACTTCAAAGCCTCCACACTCTCATGAGATTTTGAACAAGTTCTTCAGAATGCTTGTTACAGTTGACAAAGGAAATAGTCAGGAACAGGTTCGTTAGTGCTGACTACTGCAGTACAGTCACTCTAGCTCAACAGCAGGCAACGAGAGTTCAGAAATGAGTCATGTCACAGAAGCTGACTTCCGACTGCTTGCCAGCCCCAGTAAAAATATATTAACTTTTTCTCTGAATACACTTTCACAGTTATGCACTGGTGATAGCCAGAGAGTGAAAAACAACTACATCAGTGCAGAAAGTTTCAATACTTACACAGGAACACAAATATATCTAAAGCAAGACGGTGTCAAGGATTTGCATCAAGACTGCATACAGTTAAAACATGCAAGAGCAGGGAAAAAAAAACAAAACACACTTTGTGTCACCATACCTAACAGTTTCTTCCAAGACTTGATAAGAGATTTTGCTAAAGATGTAACTTCTTCATCTGTACTTTGCTTGCGTATTGCATTCACTGACATTCCAATTCTGGTAGACTGCAACAGAAATAAAAATATCCGCTATAAAAGGTGACATGAAGATAATTTCACAACTAAAATATATAAAGTTGTACTTTGACACTGTTGTTAAAAGTATCTTTTTTTTTTCCTTGTTTTTGGTTTCGTGTGGGTTTTGTGGTGGTTTTTTTAAAGGATATCAGGACGAAATGTTGCAAGCCTTTACAAAACTTATTTTAACAACATGCACGTTTTAAAAAGAAATATAACGTTACCATTTGTTTCCATCACAAAAGTTTGGGAGCAGAAGGGTTAAGGGGAGTTAATCACAACATTTTTTCTCCCAAACCATTTCAAAAAGCTCTGGAGAACTACTTACCTAAACTAAGTATGACATTCAAAACATCTAACGTGAAAATCATATATCCATCTTAATGTTATATAAGTTTTTTAGCAAAGGTTCTAGCCTCAAAAATCTTGTTTTTCTGTGAAGCAATGACTGTATTTGTATTTTGGCACGATTAGAAGCTTGCCAACTGCTTTAGTGACTTCTTACTCTTAGAATTCCCATTTGGCGGCTATGGAAGAAGCTGTAATATCAGCTGGGAGTGACCACGTTTTAGGTTCCTAATACTTTTGGCAATACTAAGATTCTTTGAGATCTTAAGCGCAGAGTTCTGCTTTTAGGTAAGACTAGCCTAGCTCTCGGAAAAGGCCAAGAGAGTGACACGCTTTAAACCTTTGGCACTACTGCCACCTATAGAGTGAGAAGGAGATGAATTTACAATCTACTCCTTTAAAGACTTGGACGAGGAGGACATAAATTTAGCTCAACAGCAACAAAAGTTCAATTTTAGAAGACTTCTGACTAACATGTTAATCTAACAAGTAGAAGATATCCACTTTTCTAGTTTCACAAGAGAAAAACGTTTAACAATACAAACAGTATTTTATCATCATTTCATATTTTGATTGATGACTGAATTTTTCAAATTGTTCTTAAGATGCTTGGTTTTGTTGCATTTATAATTTATGGTAAATTAAATATAATTTATTCTACTTACTTCTGCAGTAGTTCGTCATAAATTTCTTTCTCCTTTAAAGGAAAACTTAAATCTCTGTGGCTCACTAAAAATGGAAATGATTTGTTCCTGTAGATTACTCCTTACAACCTACACAACACTTTCAAGGCACCATGGATGTGCTAAATGACTGGAAATGTACTGAATACTCAGTAGCTATTTCAGCAAAGGAAACACATAAAATAACCTCAGGTCTGAGCATCAGTATTTTGGATTAAAGAAAACAGATGGTTACTCACCTGTAACTAAAGCATCTCAAGATGGACTCTGCCCATTCAGACTAACGGTACTGGCCAACTCTCCTGACATTTTAAACACATATCTCGACATTATGTTCAGACAATAAAGAACACCATGTGCTTGGAACTCCATAAAATACTCACCATACCTGAATGAGAAAAATGTATTTACAACAAAACTCAACCCTCCACTGATAACTGGGCACAACCACTGTCTATCCTCATCAGTGAAAAGACATCAACTTACAAAATTACTTCGGTGAATCTCAAAAACTCCAGTAAAACCCAAAATTAACCGGATAAATTAATTTCTTCTTCTGTTCACATAAGAGAAACAGATTATTGTAACTGTCTAAACTGCCAGCTTTCCTTAAGGCCATACATAAACATAGCTCATTTGTTTGCTTTTATAGAGCCCTTGATCTGGCCTTGCCTAAAGAAAGGAGAAGGAATGATCTATCAATTTATTTGCCTGCAAGCTGACACAGGTAATTCACAAAAGATCAGTGTTCTCACTGATCAAAAATGAACTCAAAATGACTGCGCTTTAATAACAAACCAGCTGCCAACAGAAATTTGAAATTTCTTCAGTTTTCCAGCCTATGAAGCTGTTCTTGTGAGAGCCATTTTAAGTGGAAAACTCCGGTATTTTTGCCTAGCTCAGTGTAATCTGTGGAATTGCTTTATCTCTGTGCCAGTTTATAAGCATGCAGATACACGAAAACCTTCCTCCGCCTGGCCAAAATGCATTTTTAATGGATTGTTCTTCCCCAATTGGAATTCTAGAGCACTTCTCACCTGCTTTCTGAGAGTAAAGAGGTTCAGAGACAGTATAAAACAGCTGTTTTCACCCCTGAAGCATTCAAGCTGTAGGCCAAGCAGCCTTCAGCTGGCATGAGCAACAGCCTAAGTAACCTACACCTGAACATAAAACAAAGGATAAAACAAAGGGAAAAATAGTTGGGGAAGAAAGGCAACCACTGGAGCAAGCAGAGCTGTCACCAACTTTGAATTGTAAGAGAGCATAAGGAGAGAATTGGTGAGCACCTGGACCAAAGGAGACCCAAATCAGCCCCTGAAGAATAACCACCTCCAGGTCACCAGGTGTCCCTGGCTCGTGAGCCATGGAGCACATCACAGCCTACTTCTGCATACGTGCGTGTCATTTCCAGTAAAACCTGTTTGTTAAAGACTGTCTGTCTGTCTCACTTTTTGGCTGTGCACTAACCACAATTAGCACCAGGGACAGGATGCCTTTAATACTGTGCGGCTGCTAAACAGATTTGCAGTTCTGACCACTGGATAAATCACGTGTGAGGAAGGCTCCTGGCTCCCTGCCTAGCTGAGCAAGGATCAGAGCTTGCTTACATAAAACTCATTAGATACGACACAGTCGTATTATTTTCTGTAACCACTTCAGCTTTCTGTGGCAAAAATCAGGCAAGAAAGACACAAGATAAAAGCACAACTCCAGGCTACTGCTGTGCCCCTTCCTATTCCACACACCTGTAAATTGTTTAAAGGGTGTCGTCAGCTCAGACCAAAGCAACAGTCATGTCACTTT